TTGTTTCTCCTGTTTGAAATAACCCCATGGTTGTTGCTGAGCCTGAGGTCTCTTGCAGTCGTGTGCGGGTGAGGCCCCAGACGGTGGCCCATTCTCTTACCAGGCACTGCCCTTTGTTTGGCCCTCCCCCACAGGCCCCTGTACATAGGTGTCGTATTGCACTGGCCCTGTGTTTTGGTTTTTGGCCTTTCTGCCTTTCGGGGCTTTTCGGTGGCTCTCTGGTCTCAGAGCCTGGGCAGGTGGGAGGCCTTTCTGGCCTCTCCCATGCTGTCATCCATCCTCCTTGTGTCAGAGGGCACCCCTGTGTCACTATTTTGTTTTCCCGGGGCCTCTTCCCCTGAAGGGTCTTTGTCGGCTCTGCATGATGATATCAAAATAACTTTCCCTTTGCTTTCAGAGTGTTTTTATAATTGGGCCTGAGCTCCTCTCCTGTGAAGTTTGTGTAGTTCGTCAGGCGTTGCGAGGGGAAAGCCCTCGGCTTGTTAATATCGTCGCTGCTGGTCTGTGTGGGCAGCCGAGGTTCTGCCAGCTTGTCCGTTGCCAGACCCTTTCCAGGGAAAGTTTTGAAACAGGGACTCTCTGGAAGCAAGTGTTGTGGCAAGGCAGTTTCCAGTTGATTGTAAACGGGTAGGAGCAGAAGAAACAGCCCAATGTGTGGAATATTTTGAAGATAGAGCCAATAGCATTGCAGTCTTTGGCCTTTGTGTCCCCAGAAGAAGTCTTTTAGTTAAAACTTTACATCTTTTTCAAATTTGTTAGGTAAAAACTGTATTGCAGCATGATTTTATTTGGAATTAATCTCATTTAAAAAATTTTAAATATATCTTCATAGTTTAAAAGACTGAAATTTTGCAAGACTGCTGGTGATCATCATTCTTAGCTCAATTTTCTCACAAGTTGCTGTTTCTTCTTCATTTCTTTTTTTTTTAAAGATGTATTTGTATAAGAACTGGGGTACAGGCCAGAGATGTGGGAGGGTGAGAAGATTTACCAGAGACAGAGTAGGGAGCAGAACAGGCAGACTGAAACGCACTGCTGAGGGGAGCAGCAGGCAAGACAGAGGAGGTTTTCTCGCCATGTGGGTTGCTCCAAGGCCTGCGGGGATCCAACCGGCACTGCAGAGGCTGCTGACAGCTTCACAGCGCTGCGCTCAACCGCCTGCACCACCAGGGAGGCCCTTAATTTTTTTTAAAAGATTTATTTATTTATGCATACAAGAACTGGGGTGCAGGCCAGAGAGAGGTATGGGGGATGAAAGGATTCACCAGAGACAGAGTGGGGAACAGAACAGGCAGAGGTACAGAAATACACTGGTGAGGGGAGCAGCGGGAGAGACAGGAGAGGTCTGCCGCTTCATGTGGGTTGCTCTGTGGCTGGCGGGGATCGAACCTGCACTGCAGAGGCTGCAGGTAACTTCACAGCACTGTGCTCAACTGCCTGCACCACCAGGGAGGCCCCTTCTTCATTTCTTATGCACAGCAGCCCCAAGTGTCACCGTTCATAATGAATCTGTAATCAGATGTGTTATTTTGCCTTTGACTTTGTGTTTTTGTTTTTGGCACAATGCCTCATGTTGTATTGGATTTCTTAGTTTCTAATGTATTGTTTATGAGGCTTAGATTTACTTAGAATGGCCTTTCTCAGTCAGTGAGTATCAGGAAGTCACTCTGTGTATCTGTAGTTATCAGGTACTTGAGGTGGTACCCAGTGCATGTATAAACAAAACAAACAAACAAACAAACAAATAAATAAATAAATAAACATGCCTCTATAAAAAAAAAAAATTTAAAAAAAAAAAAAAAAGATTTATTTATTTTTTTATTTCTTTATACAAGCACTGGGTACAGTCAGAAGCGCGGGAGGGTGAGAGAATTCACCAGAGCCAGAGCGGGAAGCAGAGCAGGCAGAAGGACCGAAGTACACTGCTGAGGGGAGCAGCGGGCGGCAGGAGAGGTCTGCGTGCCATGTGGGACCCTCCTCCGGGGGCCGGGGAGCAGCCGGGGATCAAACCGGCGCTGCAGAGGCTGCGGGCAACTTCGCAACCCAGCGCTCAACCACTGCGCCACCGGAGAGGCCCGTTACTGACCCTTTTGAATCGGTTGAAATATGTACTAATAAAGTCTTCCTACCTGCTGAGCCTGAAATCAGGCTCCCTGGGGAGGCTGGGCTGTGGTAACCAATGACCCTGACCTTCGAGTGTCTTCTACAGCAGAGGCCTGCTTCATCTCTCTTTGTGGCCTTGGGTTGATGTAATAGCCTTTCCTGAAGGGTCCTGGTCCTTGGGACAAGAGGAAGGCGTGCAGGGAACAGTTTCAGCTCTTAAAGATGCTCAGTGTGTTAGAATCTCTCCCACTGACATTTCTTCAAAGCTGCCTGAGCAGCAGCTGAGATGGGTGCACACTGTCCGTGAGGGCTACATCCGTGTACATCTCCAGTGCAACCCCTGTCTTGCGCGGTGACCCTAATAACATCCCATGGGGCTGACTCCTTTTCTCTGAAAAGCCTGGATTTGTGTGTGTGGCCAGGACCCTGTGGCATGTCCTGGTGTTGCTGCTGTTAGTACAGAGATCTGTGTCCTCAGATGCAAGTGACCTGCCGTCTCCACAACCGATTCACAGGCATCAAACATGGGCAAGATAAGCACGTGAACATTCCATTCTGAAAACTGGGAGGCACGAAGAAGGGAATTGTGTTGTCTCATGGCTGCCCAGCAGTCTTGTAATCCTGGCATCAGTTGTTCTGAGAGACCCCTTTGGATGGGCCAGCATCAGGAGGTGTCCCCTTGGACCACATCTCCCATGGCAGAAAATGAGCTTGTTTGTTCTCTGGCACAGTTCACAACCAGAGACCTCACCATGCCTGGGCAGCGCCACAGATACCTGGAAGTGGCCACTGAGGGCCCCTGTGGTCTTAAGTGGTGCGGGTCTCAGCAGGTAGAGTTGAATGGACACTGCCAGTGGCGCTGTCTTGGGATTGGAACCTCCACCCCACCCAGCATGTGTCCTCACATGCGCCTGAGTGTGAACTTCCTTTCCACCCAAACAGGCCATGATATCTGCCAAGGCAGACCCTACCAGTGTGCACACATGAGTGCAAGACTGAGACATATGGGGAAAGGCAAGAAAGCCACACCAGTACAGGAACACACCAAGATTCTAGTGATAGCTCCATGAAGAGTGATTTATCAGTGTGTACAATTCCAAATAATTGCTGCCAGCAAGGCCCAGAAAGCTAAAGATGAGCACAGATACCCTGCTCAGTGATGCAAGGAGAGTACAGAAAGAAAACAAATTTAGCAGACTTGAGATTTATAACAAAGAAGGAAATACATTGACATGAAGAACACAGTCACTGAAATGAACTTGTAATAGACAGCTGTGAGAATAGACTGGAACCAGATGATTCTATAAACTGAGGTCCTTGGAAATCATATCGCTGTAGGTGACTCAAGTTGACATGTTCGGAAAAGCTTGAGAAAAATCTATGACTAGAGAATGCCATCAAGTGAGCAGTACTTGCATCATGGCTGAGGCTGAAGAGACTGATAGAGAATTGCCAGAGAGCCTGTTCATGAATTAGAATGAGAAATTTCCCAGGTGAAGGAGAGTTGAGATTTCCGAGCTACGTAAATCACATATAGATCCCCTTAGAGATTCAACCAAAGAAAGATTTCGCTTCGACATGTCATAAATCTCGTCAAAGAGAATGAATTTTTAAACAGCAGGTGGAAAAACAGCATCAAGTATGATAATCACCCCCATAAAATTATCTGTATTTTTCTGTAGACGTGTTGAGACCTGAGATAGTTGAATGGCATTTTCAAAGGACTGAAAGAGGAAATACCACCAAGGAGTCCTGTGTCTGCCAAACCTGAGACAAAGTAATTACGGACTCCTTTACAAGAAGAGCTGAGCAAGGGGAGGATGTATCTTTCTGTAGAGGAAGCCCCCCTAGCGAGTGCTCCACATGTCCATACACACACACTATACATATATATATACGTGTGTGTGTGTGTGTGTGTGTGTGTCCAGTCACACCCCTATATTGTAGATGGGTCTTTTAGGAGCTAGTCAGGGTTCATTTAGATAAGGCTGGGGTCCTTCGTCCAGCAGCATTAGTGACCCTGTAACAAGGAGGCTGTCTGGCTGCCCACACACCTGCTTTCAGGTGTGGATGCTGCCACATGCCCACCGAGCGCAGAGCCTGTCGTACAGCAACTGGACTGACTGGCCTATGACTACCCAGTCTCCCTGTTGGGTACAGAAGGGTTTTATTTTTTCATACAGTTTATTTATGGTATCCTGAGCCCCTGATGCTGGGGGAGATAGTGAGTTTTTATGGACACAAATGAGCCATCTACATTCTCTAATTAGTTTTCTCATATTGACCTTTTAATCAATATGAATAAGAATGTATTTTTTTAAAGATTTATTTATTTATGCACACAAGAACTGGGGTTTAGGTAAGAGGCATGGGGGGTGAGAGGATTCCCCAGAGACAGAGTGGGGAGCAGAACAGGGGGATCTACTGCTGAGGGGAGCAGCCAGAGAGACAGGAGAGGTCTGCTGCGCCTTGTGGGTAGCTCCCTGGCTGGGGATCGAACTCGTACTGCAGAGGCTCTGATAGCAGAGGCTCCTGATAGCACTGAGACTTTAACCTCTGCACCACCAGGGAGGCCCAGAATGTTTTTTTTTTTGTTTGTTTTTTGTTTTTTTAATTTTTTAATAGAGGCATGTTTTATTTATTTATTTGTTTGTTTGTTTGCTTTGTTTATACATGCACTGGATACAGTCAGAAGCGCAGGAGGGTGAGAGAATTCACCAGAGCCAGAGTGGGGAGCAGCGGGCGGCAGGAGAGGTCTGCACGCCATGTGAGACCCTCCTCTGGTGGCCGGGGAGCAGCTGGGGATCGAACCGGCACTGCAGAGGCCGCGGGGCAGCTTCACAACCCAGCGCTCAACCGCTGCGCCACCAGGGAGGCCCTGTTTTTTTGTTTTTTAATTAGAATTGTGTTGTTAGCTTTGTTGCCTTGGGAGAATTGCTATCATTGCAGTGCAAACTCATCTTACTCGGTGCCGAAGACCAGCCTTGGCCAATTGAGTGCCAGGGGTTCCTGAAGGATGGGACAGCTTTGGCGCAATTGAGGAATGAGGCAGACACACACAATGCCTTGGGTTAGTATTTCTCCCAGAGGGTCTCAGGAGGCTTTATTTATACACTAAGGCAAGCAGTGGGATTACATCATCACATGCATGGAAGCAAAGCAAAAGCAATCAGTGTATTTTTTTTCTCCCATAGACTTTTGGCTGCTGTGGGCTCTCAAAGAAGGCAAACTTCAAGGTTAATAGATAAAAAACTAAGCCTTACACTAAAATTATTTCAGCTAGACAGTTACCCAAGACAGTTGATAGCAGTTGGTACACTCATCAGCTAAAGCCTAAGCATCAAAAGACTCTTCTTATTTGCATGGCTTTCAGCCGGAGACCAGCTGCTTTCTGGTTATCAGCCAACAGGGTTTTCTACCTAGAAATTTCTTAATACAATTAACTTCATTTAAAAACTTTCCTAAGAAACTTCTAAAAAAAAGCAAAAGAAGGACTTAACTATAATCGTTGTCCTGGGTTGCTTGTCAGGCATGCTCATGTATAACAAACTCTTTCCCATTGTCAGGCAGGCCAAATTTACAATGTTTTTTAAGCAGGTAATTCTCCGTGCCTTGTGCTTATAATATTCTTATACATATACTTTATTGCCCAATGTATTTTCTGAGAGTTTTTTCTCTTTCTATGACCAAGAACATAAAACAAAGGGAGGTTTATAGGTTATAGATTAATCTTCAGCCCCAAGGTGTGAGGCTCTTTGGAAATCTTCGGCCCCACAGTGTGAGGCCCTTTAAAAGTCTTTGGCCCCACGGTGTTAGACCCTTTTCTTAACTGCTTGCCAGCATCTTATCTGGCTGGGGCAGCAAGGCCCCCGCAACTCAGGAAGCTGTTTTGTCTTTTTATTTTGTTCACTTTGTTTTTTGATTTTTGATTTTGTTTTTCCCTCTGCTCAGACTTTGGTACATTGTTCTGTTATACATACTGTTTGTTGTTTTTTCCTTTCATCGATATCATACACGAGTTCCTGTGTATGTGAAGACTTGTATATTTTTTATAGTCTGCTCTTTGAATTTTCTTTTTTTACAATAATTTGATATTTTTTGGCTTTCCAAGGTAAATTATAGCTAGTTATGCCCGATTTCACTGATGTCTTTCTCTTCTCCATTGTGTCGTTCTCCTAACCCATTGTGAAGAAGGGGTAGCTGATCATTTGTTATTCCTCGTCTCATAAACGTGATTTCACCCGTGGCTGTGTCAAGTATATTGAATTGTGTTAAGGAAAAATCCTCCGAATCCTTTTTCACTTACTATAAGTACAAAGGTATTTGCATTGGATCCTACTCAATATATATGTGGGTGTACAAAGGATTTTTTTTACACAGGAATATGAGATTATGGACTGCATGAACAGATTTCCTAAGATTGAGGTTTCCTTATTCCTAACATAATCTTCTCAAAAGTCCTTTATTGCCATGATTTATTTATTTATTTATTTATGCTCTCCATCAGTATCTATTAGTCTCTCCAATTCTAGTTTCCCTCTTTCAGTATTGTTGGTTCTGGTCGAGCCATGTTTTTCCCTGAGATGATGAAAGCTACCAGTGATATTCCAGAGATTTCCACGTTTCAGACTTCAGCTTAGAGTTCCTGTTCTACGATATATATGTCCCATTCGAAGTAGGACTCCAGTATCGACCATCTGCTCATGCAGACAGCATATTAGGAAAATGTTCCCTCAGCCACCATGTTATTAACTGGTTCTCCTTTTTCCTCTCTTTTTCAGATGTAATATGTGTTCTGTGTACTCATGTCTCTATTAAGGGTAACTTTTTCACCTCTATGGATTGGCCCTTCATATTTCTACGTTGTCCTGTAGGGTCTTTGTTTTGTTGGCTCTGAGGTGGAAGAGAGCATGCTTTTAGGTGACCGGAATGCAATGTTGGCATGATTTTGTACATCTCATTTGTTAGGAAGACTATGATCACATAACATTCTTTCCTGCCGAATTCAGCTCACATATCCCACAGTTCATGAAGCTGACAGACTTCAGTTCCAGAATACTTTTACTGTCTCTCTCACCTCACTGCCCGGGACTCTGCCTGGCAGTGCTCTCTGCACTTCAGTTACCATGGTGAGTGCTTTTTATATTGTTACACGATGACACCTGCTGTTGTCTTATACTGTGGAGCATGTCATTTACAAGGAAGAGCAAGTGTTTGGGTCTTCAGTGAAGTGTAACCTGACAGTACAAAGTGTAGGTTTTTCTTCTCTTGTCCCCGTGTCTGCATTCAGCATGTTTTTCACACCACTCCTTTAGCACATTGTTCCAGGTGTGTGTCTATTTTACCTGCCAACCAGGTGCTAAGTTCTTGAGGAGCAAATTTTGTTCATCCTCTTATTCATAGCCTGAGAACACCTCCAGATTTATAAGTTGAGCTATTAAAGAACTTTAAGGAGCGAATGAGTTAGTCCAGATGTAAGGCTATTTCTACTGAGAATTCTGTGCATATCATGATGTAGAGTAAGAAGATGGTACCTCCTATACAAGATTAGAGACCCACAACAGAAGGTGCATTTATACTTGCTGCTGTCTGATCCAGGCTGCTGGCCTTGAAATGAGAAGAAATGTTCTCTTGCAGGGGATGGTGTCATTTGAGGATGTGGCTGTGAACTTCAGCCGGGAGGAGTGGCGGGAGCTGAATGGTGCTCAGAGGACGCTGTACCAGGATGTGATGCTGGAGACCTACAGCCACCTGGTGTCACTAGGTGCGGAAGCTCCGATGCAACACCGGAGTGTAAGTGCTATCTTCTACGCTGATAAGTATGCACTTGCTTATGAAATTGGGTGCTGGTGAGGTTGAACATGGCAGGCAGAGTAGATTGTGGGTGTTCACCCTTTTTATGAAAAGTTAAAATTGGTTCTGTAGATGCAGAATCCTTGTCTCTAAACAATATTCTTTCTTAAGTGACCCCATCCAGTCAGTAGGCTTTCCAGCAAACCATGACATCTACAGAGCTTGATAGTTCAAAAAATACGAGCAAAAGTTGCACAGATGTATCATAAGATGAAAAGAATGAAGACTAAAGGTTAGGCTAAATGCTGCTAGCTGAAACTGACATTTGGAGTTAGTATATTTACCTAATATTTCTGAATTTTAAAAGAAATAAGTCTTACTTGTCAACCTGGTTTGGCATTAGAAATCTTTTAATTTATTCTGTGACTTGATAGGGGTAGAAATCATGAATCAGAAAATCAGTACCATTACTCTATTTAAATAGTGTTGTAGTAGAGACACTTATGTGCCTTTATATTAGAAATCACAGGCAATGTTTAGATATTTATAGAAATTGTTACTTTTATTTCATTTTAGATGTCCACTGTGGATTGCCTGATTAAGTCCAACTAGCCAAATCAGGGGAGGTGTTTAGGGTAATTTCTAATTGCCAACAGTAAAACGTCAACCAAAGAGAGAAATGACTTAGGGAAATCAAATAATTTGGACTCAGTTCATAGTTTACACCACACTGTACATCAGGGAATGGTCCACACTGTGGAGAAACCCTATGAATGTTGAGAGTATAGCAAAGCTTTCTCCCGTAAATCATCCGTCACTTACCATCACAGAATGCATACTGGAGAGCAATCCTGTGAATGACATGACTGTAGTAAAACTTTCTCCTGGAAATCAGGGCTTTATATCCGAGATCATACACTACAATTAACTCTATGAATGTCTAGAGTATAGGAAAACTTTCTCCTGAAATTGGACCTCACTGACCATCAGAGAAATCTCTTTGACTGCCAAGAGTGTAGAACTCTCAGAAATCAGTTCTGAGTGTACATCAGGGAATCCATACAATAGCTACTTTTTATGTCTAGCCTGTAGGGAACCCTCAGTTTAGCCCTCTCTAGATAATTCACAGGAGAGCTGCCTTACACATATCCAGAACGTAGTAAAGCTTTTTACTGCAAATTGGATGTCACTGGGTAGCAGAGACTCAAAGAATAGAAGCCCTGTGACTGTCAGTTTTGTGGGGTAGCTTTCCGCCAGAAGGAGCTCTCACTGGATGGGGAATGACACAGGAGAGACACCCTTTGTGGGTAACATGTGTAGGGAAACTATGGAAGTCAGCCTTCAGCAACCCTAGAAATTTTATAGAGTGGTGTGACACTGTCAGGTGCAGACTGTAAGAAAACCTTGGCAAAACTGTGCCAAGAAACACAGCTTCGTTGGGACCAGGTACTATCCCTTGCCCTCCTCCGCATAAGAGTGGCACCTAGAAGTGGGCTACAATTAAGCCCCTTTGAAATTGTGTTTGGAAGACCCTTCCAGGCCTCAGTTCTGAAAGCCAGTCCGGAAATAGCTCAAGATTGCCGGATCACACAATATGTGAAACACATCCAGGAGGTTCTGGCAGTAATTCATAACTTTGCAACCTCGAGAATCTCTATGCCTCCTGATCAACCATTGCATCCCTTCAAACCTGGAAATCAGGTCTTACTGAAGACCTGGCAGAGTGGGGATGCCCAAAACCAGTTGTCACAAAAATGGACTGGTCCATATGACGTTTTGCTAAGCACACATACTTCTCTGAAACTTGCAGGTATAAAACCCTGGGTACATCATTCCAGAGTTAAAAAAGCGCCAGAAGGAACTGACCCAGAGACGAAGTCCAATTGGTCTTGTGAACCCATTGAAGACTTGAGATATTTATTTAAAAAAAAAAGAAACTTGAATGTTACCGACTTCTTTTCCAGTTATTGTTGCAGGATACCCAAGAACTCGTTTTTTTTTTTTTTTTTTGAAGAAACCCTGAGAAGAAAAAAAACTAACATGCTCTAACCAATCTCTTTCTTTCAAAGTTTAGAAGATGTGAAATAACATGTAGGATCATGCATATGCTGACAGTATTTTTTTTTTACATAGAAAGGTTTTTAATCTTGATTTTGTTATTTCCTATCAACTTTTGTTTTTTTACTTTGAAGTTTTTTTTCCTGCTTGTTTTTTTTTTTTTTTTTTGTTACTTTGGCCTATCAGACAAACTGCAGTTGTATGGGATATCCCACGCGTGATGAATGGTAACTAAAGAGCTCTTTGTGTCTATATGTTGTCTGTCAGTATGTCCTTGTGTCTAACCGTCTTGACCTCCAGTGATCGACAAATTGGTATACATGGTGCCCATAGATGTTGGGGAAAGAAAGGAAAAAAAAAAAAGTTACGGTTTGATTGTCAACATTGTGCTACTGAACTAAGCCGGTGCCTTCATAGAGATTGAATATTGTTGTTTCTGTTAATTTTCTGATATTTATGGCAAAGCTTCCCAGAAATCTAAGTTCAAGTACAAATTTGGTAGCCTGTCATTTGACTGATGCAAGGAAATTTTGTGGAACCTCAGTAGAGCTCCTGAGACACTCCACAAAGTTTCTCCCTTTCCTCCTGGGAAGGCATTAAATGAATTTGTTCTATTTGCCTTTTACCTAATGAAGTAAAACTGGAAGGGAAGCATTGTCACTTGGGAAAATGGTAAAACTTTGGTATGTACAAAACGTTAACAGTAGTTTTCTAAAAAAGTGTATACAAAAAACCTCTCAGTATCTGGTATGTATGTATATTGTCACCTTGTAATATTGTATAATTCAATTGTTTCACACCTACAGAAATTGTTTCCGGAAATATAGGGAGAAAAGGTCTCAACAGATTCCTATTGATGGAACTGTTGAGAGTAAAAAAAACTTTCCTACAAAGGACTGAATAGACCTGGAAATACACCTGACATTTACTAAGGTTTCTTTGACATAATACTGGAAATTTTTTATGCATTCTGTCCTGAATCCACAAAGTTTTTGTTTTGTTTTGTTTTGTTTTGAGTAACCAGAATCTTCAGAAAGGTTGTAATTTTTTTTTTCCAGCAAAGCTAACTTGTCACATTTTCTCTCCCCTTGATACCAACACAGCATACAAATAGTGGTAGTAATTTTTGCTACTTATTTCAGAGTCTGTTTTTGCATAACTTCCATAGGGATTTTGTCTGTTTTAACAAAAAATTGGACGTGAGTTTGATTGTGTGGCTTTGTGTGGAGTTCTTCCGGAAAGTTGAAAAAGAGCTGAACCAAGAAGAGGAAAACCTGTTTGCCTTGTTTGTAGGGTTCCAGAGACCTCCAAAGAAGGTGAGGAAGCTTGCCTCCATTGGCAGGACTGGACAACCCGGCCAACGAAAATGCCCTGGTATCCTCGAGAAGAGGAAAGCCCAGGTGGAGTCTGATGAGACCAACTTTATACCTGAAGCATACATCGACTGGATGCCACCGGTTCGCTCTGATCCTGTGTGGAGTATTCCAACAAAGCCAGCTAAAAATTGCTGTTAGTTATTTCTACCCTGTGATTTTATGCAAAAATAGGAAAAAGGGTTTAAAAGTAGATTTAGTTTGCAAACTTTTGTTTTGCTGTTAAAAGCTTGGTATCAAGGTTGAGAAAATTTGTGTTTTTACATCAGTTGAACCATTTTAAGATTTTTTTTTCTGAAATTTTTACATATCTGCTGTCTTATTTTGGCTAACGCCTCCAGATTTTTTTTTTTTTGGCTTAAACTGATGAACTATTTTTCCTGGAGTGGAGGACTTTTGCTTTCCACAATGGACAAATACCTGGAGAAACTGGTTTTCTTTCACACTGGAACCTGAAAAAAAATGTTCATCTAAGACTGCATCCCAACCTCCATATATTCGATCTTCATCACCATGGAAATGGTGGCAAAAAGTGAAAGGGGGGAATTGTTAGGGGGAAAAGGCTGTCCCAAAGCAAATTCCATACAGGCTTTGTGGACTCCACCCCCACCCCAGGTCAAAGCCAAAGACACTGGGAACTCCAAATCCCATCACCACCAAAGGGAAGGTGGCTGGGACCTGAGGGTGGGGTTAAGCAGCCAGGTGGATACAAAAGGCAGACACGTGGGCTTTGGGGGCCTCTCCATTTTGGGGCTCTCGGCCAGCTCGCAGCGTCCGGCCAGCTCTGAGAGTGACTTTGGGTTTCCAGGTCGTCGGATCGGGTAGGACGCATTAAAGACTTTATTTCCCTATTTTCTCCCTGAGTTGTACATTTTCCTTATTTCTTTTTCTCTTGTAAATAAACCTTTTATTAACCCTTTTGTGTGTGTCTGTAGTAGAGTATTCATAAGTCCCTTTAAAGCACGCGGGTGAGGACCCACAGCCAGGAACCCGTTTAATATCGGGGTTGCTCTATAACAGCTAGGGGAGCAGCGGGCGAGTCAGGAGAGGTCTGCTGCGCTATGCGGGTTGCTTCCTGGCCAGCCGGGGATCAAACTCGCGCTGCCAGAGGCTGTGGACAGCTTCACAAGCTGCGTCTCAATCCCTTGGGCCACCAGGGAGGCCCCCTCTACACAGCATTTTTATTCTGCTGGACAGACAACTTGGATTTCCCTGCCTCATTATCCTCTGCTTGAACTCAGCCCACGAGTACGTCAACACAGATGAGGGATGTTATTTGTATTTAAACTATACCCAAAAAGTTTTGTGTGTTCTTCCCAGATCCTCCTTCTCTGTTGTCTGCATACTTCTCTGGTGTCACCATACTGGAGTAGCATTGCACTAGTCCTCACAGTGTCTGTGGGCCATAAACTCCATCATTTGCACTGTTGTCTTGCACACATGTATTTCACATTGGTTCTGAGCACATCGTTGTCCTTTCTTTGTTAATGTTTTTTTTCTTTAATCAACGTGTCTTTATTTATTTATTTTTAAAGATTTATTTTATTTGTTCAAGAGCTGAGGTACAGGCCAGATGTGCAGGAGGGTAAGAGGATTCACCAGAGACAGAGCAGGGAACAGAAAAGGCGGACTGACAAAAAAACACTGCTGAGGGGAGTGGTGGGCGAGACAGGAGAGGTCTGCTCACCATGTGGGTTGTTCCAAGGCCGGTGGGGATCGAACTGGGGCCACAGATGCTGCAGATGGCTTCACAGTGCGGTGCTCAACTGCTTGTGCCACCAGGGAGGCCCTATCAACATGTCTTTTTAAAGAATTAGGACAAGAAAAACATCTATGGAGTATTTTGTACAGTTACCCACATAGGTACCATTTCCAGCGAGCCTGATTTTTTTTCCTTGGATCCAAGGAGCCATCTGGTGTCCTCTTTTGGCCTGCAGAGTGTCCCCTCGCATTGTGAGCTGCGGTCTGCTGCTGCTGCATTACATCAGCGTTTGTGTCTCTGAAATGTCTTTGCTTCTCCTCTGTTTTCTGTTCATCTAGTTTTTTCCCAATTTGAGGTGAGGGTTGAAGGATGTTTCTGCACTTTCCAGATATCTTCCCCTTCTGAGGAGAGAGAAGTTGTCCATCACTCGTGTGGTTGTAGCATCTGCTGTCATTTCTCTGGCTGCTCACAAGATCGTGTATTATCCTTGGACACTGGCTATTTGTGAAGGGCCTGGACTGGTTTTCTTTGCTCTGACCTCATTACAGATCATTAAGTTTTAGGTTTGTACTTTTTTCCTTTTTTCTGGGTCAGACTCTGCCCTTGGTGCTTTTAAATGTGTTGCTTGCTGTTTGGTCCTCTCATCGGTTATGCATGGGAGTTCCTGTGCATGTAAATACTTGGCTATATTATTTCTGCAGTCAGCTCACTGCATTTTCCTTCAGTGTGCTTTTCATTAGTTTTCCGTGGATGAATTATAACTAGTTATGACCATTTTTACTTATGTTTTCTTTTTTTTCTGTTGAGTATCTTCGTTGTTCCTTGTCTCACTGTGAGTGTTAATGTCACCTGTGGCTGTGTCAAGGACATATAATTCTATTAAGGAAAAATCCTCTGAATCATTTCTTTTAGTCATTGCAAATGGAAGGTATTTGTATGGGGGCCTACTCACTATATATATGGATGTTCATAGGATTTTGTACTCCAGAATGTGACATGATGGAATATATTAACAGATGTGTTAAGATTTTTGTTTCCCGAGCCCTGGAGGCATAGGCAGTTGAGCCCCACACTGTGAAGCTTTCCGCAGCCTCTACAGTGTGGGTTCAATCCCGGCCCACCGGCGAGGGTCCCACATGGTGAAGCAGACCTCTCCTGTCTTGCCTGCTGCTCCCCTCAGCAGTGTATTTTATCAGTCTGCCTGTTCTGTTCCCTGCACTCTCTCTGATGAATCCTCTCACCCTCCCATGCATCTGGCCTGTACCCCGGTTCTTGTATAAAAATAAATAAATCTTAAAAAAAAAACAAAGGTTTTTGTTTCCCTATACCTAGTGTCATTTTTTCCAAAAGTCTTTCATTGCTATGAGTTATTTTTTCTTCCTCCAATAGAAATGCTAGTTTCTACCAGTTGTTTTTGAATACCTATTATTCAAAAACGACCATGTTCTTCCCTATGATGATGAAAACTACCAATTATATTCCAGAGATTTGCACATTTCTTTCTTTCATTTTTTTTTGGTAAAGATTTATTTTATTTTTGCACACAAGAGCTGGGGGGTGAGGCCAGAAGTGCAGCGGGTGAGAGGATTCACCAGAGACAGAGTGGGGAACAGAACAGGCGGATCCACTGAAATCCAGTGTTGAGGGGAGCAGCGGGGAGACAGGAGAGGTCTGCTGTGCCATGTGGGTAGCTCCCTGGCTGGAGATGGAACTCGTGCTGCAGTGGCTGCAGACAGCTTCATAGTGCTGAGAATAAACCCACTGCACCACCAGGAAAGCCCTGATTCCAAAATTTCTATCTTCAGCTTAGAACTCTTGATGTATAAGACACATGTCCAGTTGAGTGTGCAACACCAATATCTGTTGGCTGGTCGTGCGACAGCATTCTAGGAAAACATTCCTTGTACCTCAGCCACCAAGTTATTAGCACATTATCCTCCCCTTCCCTGCTCTGTTTTAGAAATGATGCCCTGTCCTGTGAACATCTCTTACCTCTGTTTATCTGTCCCTCATTGTTGCACATTCTGGTTTAGGGTCTAGGTTTTGTTTACTCTGAGGTGGCGATACCAGCTTTGAGGTCACAGGAATAAAATACTGGCACACATTTGTACATACTTTTCATTTGTTATGAAGAGGGTGATCACATCACAGTCTTTCCAGCTGAATTCAGCTCAGATGTCCCAAGTTCATGAAGCTGGCAGACTTCAGTTCCAGAATACTTTTATTGTCTCTCTCATCTCACTGCCCGGGACTCTGCCTGGCAGCGTGCTCTCTGCAGGTCAGTTACCATGGCGAGTGCTTTCTGTTTTCTCACACAATGACATCTGCTGTTGTCTCACACTGATGAGTGTATTTTACAGGAAGAGCTAAGTGTTTGGGTCTTCAGTGAAGTGTAACCCGACACTACAAAGTGTTGGTTTCTCTTCTCTTGCACTGTGTCAGCATTTAGCAGGCTTTTCACACCGCTACGTAGCACGTTGTTCCACGTATGTGTCTATTCTACCTGCCAACCAGGTGATAAGCTTTTCAAGGAGCAGATTTTGTTCATCCTTTGATTCTTAGCATCAAAGACACTTCCCAATTTATAAAGTAAGTTATAAAAAACTTCTAGGAGCAAATGAGTTAGTCCAGAAGTAAAGCTATTTCTACTGAGAATTCTGTGCATATCGCAATGTAGAGTAAGAAGATGGTGCATCCTATACAAGGTCAAAGACTCACAAAAGAAGGTGCGTTTACACTTGCTCTGTCTGACCCAGGCTGCTGGCCCTGAAATGAGAAGAAATGTCCCCTCGGAGGGGATGGTGTCATTTGAGGATGTGGCTGTGAACTTCACCTGGGAGGAGTGGCGGGACCTGAGTGAAGCTCAGAGGACCTTGTACCGGGATGTGATGCTGGAGACCTGCAGCCACCTGGTGTCACTAGGTGAGGAAGCCCCCATGTAACGTTCGAGCGCATGGGCTGTCTTCTATGCTGAGAGTGTGCACTTCCCTATGAAAGTGGGTACTGGTGTGGTTGAATGTGGCAAACAGACTAGATTGTGAGTGTTCGCCCTGTTTATCAGAAGTACCAGTTGGCCTTTGTTGCTCTTAACACTGCTTTTGTTATTTTTCAAAATTGACTTTTTTTTTTAAGATTTTTGAATTTATTCATTTTTAAAAGATTCATTTATTTATGCATACAAGAACTAGGGTACAGGCCAGAGGTGTGTGTGTGGGGGGAGAGGATTCACCAGAGAGAGTGGGGAACAGAACCGGCAGATTGACTGAAATACACTGCTGATGGGAGCAGTGGGTGAGTCAAGAGAAGTCTGCTGCACCATGTGGGTCAGCTCACTGGCCGAGGATCAAACTAGTGCTGCAGTGGTAGCGGACAGCTTCATAGGCTATGTCTTAATCCCTTGCACCACCGGGAGCCCCCAAAACTGAAGTTTAACTTGATGAAAGACCAACAGTGTTTCTCATCACAGGACATTGTGTTACCGGTCCTGAGGAGAGCATCAGGTTGGAGCAGGGAGTACAGACGTGGACTGTGGAGGAACCCCCAAACCAGGACGTCTCAGGTCAGTCCTTGCTGGCAGGAGGCTAGGATTGTGGCCAGTGATATTGGCCACACTGAGCTACTTTTCCAATGTCCAAACCGTGGGCAGTCTGTCCACATTTATCAAAGTGATTCTTTCTTCAGTTCCCAAATATTGCTGACTCCTAGATTTCCTCCTACACTTTCAGTGGTTGTCAATATCTTTTTTTTTTTTAAAGAGGCACGTATATTATTTATTTATTTATTTGTTTGTTTGTTTGTTTATACATGCACTGGGTACAGTCAGAAGCGCGGGAGGGTGAGGGAATTCACCAGAGCCAGAGCAGGGAGCAGAGCAGGCAGAAGGACCAAAGTACACTGCTGAGGGGAGCAGTGGGCGGCAGGAGAGGTCTGCGCGCCATGTGGGACCCTCCTCAGGTGGCCGGGGAGCAGCTGGGGAACGAACCGGCGCCGCAGAGGCCGTGGGGAGCTTCACAACCCAGCACTCAACCGCTGTGCCACTGGGGAGGCCCGGTTGTCAATATCTTAAACCAGTATGTAGTCCCCAGTGCTGCGGGAAATTATTCTATATTAGTCACATTTTCTGTGTGTCTCTCTTGTTCCCACAGGCTGTTTTCTTTCACTTATTTGTTCAGGCATTCCTTTATTCTCTTATCTTGTTCATTGGAAGTTTCAGCTAGTGGTCAATTTTCATTGAGTATGGATAATGACAGTAACCACAGAAGTGGCCTTTACTTTGTTAAGGTTACATTCTGATAGACAGGATAATGTAACAAATACATGTATTAAATAGATAGAGCCACAGATAATGTTTGACCATGATGAGAGAGAAAAAGTGGAGAATGTTATTTTAGAGTGTGTGCTCTGAAGGCATTATTATGGAGATGAAGTCTTTGTAGCGCTCAGGTGAGATGCATTCTTTGCACGGACATGCCATGTATGTAGTTCTCTGTGCGGTCTGGGCTAGAGGTTGTGTGTGGCTACTGGAGATGTCATTTACCAGGTGACTGACTCAAAACTCATAGAGAGGGCTTAACTGGAGAGTTATTGAGAACATGAGGAGTGTGACTGTGAGCCTTGTGACCGCCCACATTAGACATTGTGAGGCTGAGGAGGACCCAGAAATTGTTCAGCGTGGGAAGGGATGTTCTGTGACATGGGAGGGGAAACCTGAGGTGGTGGTTTCTAAAGCCATGGCACCAAGAGTTCAGGTTGAGGGCTCATTCCTTGGGGAGGAGTTTGAACTGTGTAATCACACCTTCTTGTGGGAATCATTTGGAAGAAAGTAAAGGAATCAATGACAGTGTGATGTAGCTAAGAGTAACATAGTAGATAGAAACTTGAGCTGCTATGAATGCAGTAGAAACACAGGTACCACGTGGTGCAGTGAGAATACCAAGAGTGCTGATCCCAGAAGGGTGTGGAAAAAGCCTTTTACAATGATGGCCACAGACTGATTGTAGAACTCTTTTCCTTTCCATCAGCAGGGAAAAGTAGGACACAATGATGAGGCGGAGTTTGCTGCATGATTTAGGATTCTGAACCTATGTGATATGATATTTAAATAAGAACTGACAGGTCTCTGCCGTGGAGGGAAGCACATGTCTCTGAGAACCTCTGCAGGTGACTGTGGCCAGGGCCGGAGGAGAAAGAAAATCTAAGGAAATGTCCATGCAGAATCCTTCTGTCTTGGCAGGGCTCTGTTCACATTCAGTCAATAGGAAAACTATGACATCTGCAGAGCTTGATTATTCAAAAACTACCAGCAGAAGTAGCTCACGGTCATCCTGCAAAAGAAAGGATGTAGGCTCTATGTTAGAGTAAATGCTTCTGGTGGAAATCAACATCTACAGTTAAATGAATTTTTTAACCAAATATGTATGATTTTATAAAAGCACAAATAAGTTTTACAGCTTCCTTTTCAACCTGAATTGACATTAGAAAAATCTGTTAATTGGGGCCTCCCTGGAGGCCTAGCGGTTAAGTCTCTCTGCTGTCACTGCTATCACCTGAGTTTGATCTATGGCCAGGGAGCTCACCCTATATGGCACAGCAGACCTGTCTCGCCTGCTGCTCTCCTTAGCAGTATATTTCACTCACTCCGCCTCTTCTGCTCCCCACTCTGTCTTTGGTTATCCTCTCAATTTCCCACCCCCAGCCTCCCATGTACCTCTGTTGTACACCCTGTCTCTTTTATGCCAAAATAAAAGTAAATCTGTTTTTGTTTTGTTTTGTTTTTCTGTAATTGGTTATGGGTAAAAAGCATGAATCAGAAAAATGCAATACCTGTGAAATTCTGTTTTAGTGTAAAATCTTTTGTGCCTTATAGTAGCAGTAACTTGAAATGTTTAGAGTTATTTATAAAAATGATCATTTTTATCTCTTTTTAGATGTTCATACTGTGGATTACCTGACTAAGACCAACCCTCCAAATCAGGGAAGACATTTGTGGCAAGTTTTTACTGCCAGGAGCAAAATATCAACCAATGAGAGAACTGACTTAGGGGAAAAAAGTAACTTGGACTCACTTCATCGTTTGAACCAGAATATAAAAAAGGGAAACATTTCAGCAATGATGCCTGAGAACTTTACTATATATAGGGCCATGTTAACCCCTGATGGGCCTCATGAAGAGCATGCTGGAAGGAAAGAGGCAGTCTTTCATAGAATTAGGGACTCCCTCGGGTATCCTGAGCAGAAGACTCACACAGGAAAGAAGGCCTGTGAATGTCAAAAGTGTAGGGCCATTTTGTCCAGAAAATCATCCTTCACTTACCATCACCGAATGCATGCTAGAGAGAAACCCTACAAATATCAAGAGTGTAGAAAAATGTTTTTGTGGAAATCTGTCATCTTTGAACATCAGGGAAATCACACTGGAGGGAAATCTTATAAATGTCAAGAGTGTGGGAGAACTTTTAACAGTAAGTCCACCCTCATTGTGCATAAGAGAAGTCACACCACTGGAGAGAAGTCCTATGAATGTCAAGTGTGTAGGAAAGTGTTTTCCCAGAAGTCAGTTCTTGTTCTACACGAGAGGGCTCACACTGGAGAGAAGCCCACTGAGTGTCAAGACTGTGGGAAAACTTTTCCCAATCAGACCACCCTCAGTGTACATCGGAGAAGTCACACTGGAGAGAAACCCTATGACTGTAAAGAGTGTGGGAAGGCTTTCCGCTGCAAGGAAAGCCCTCTATCAACATGAATTAACTAACAGAGGAGTGAAGCTCTATGCATGTCAACAATGCAGGAAAACATTCTACTGGAAATCATCCCTCAATAAACATCAGAGAAGTCACACTGGAGAGAAACCCTATGAATGTCAACTGTGTGGGAAAGCCTTTTCTGATAAAGTACACCTCAATAGGCATCACACAATACACACTGGAGAGAAACCCTATGAATGTCAAGAGTGTGGAAAGGCTTTCCGGAACAGGTCAGGCCTCCATGCTCATCAAATAACTCACAGAGCAATAAAGCCCTATAAATGTCAAGAGTGTGGGAAAACTTTTTCCAGAAAGTTCTCCGTCACTGTACATAAGAGAAGTCATACTGGAGAGAAACCCTATGAATGTCAAGAGTGTGGAAAGGCTTTCTGGAACATATCAGGCCTCGATACTCATCAAATAACTCACAGAGCAATAAAGCCCTATAAATGTCAAGAGTGTGGGAAAATTTTTTCCAGAAAGTTCTCCTTCACTGTACATAAGAGAAGTCATACTGGAGAGAAACCCTATGAATGTCAAGAGTGTGGAAAGGCTTTCTGGAACATGTCAGGCCTCGATACTCATCAAATAACTCACAGAGCAATAAAGCCCTATAAATGTCAAGAGTGTGGGAAAACTTTTTCCAGAAAGTTCACCCTCACTGTACATAAGAGAAGTCACACTGGAGAGAAACCTTATGAATGTCAAGAGTGTGGGAAAACTCTTTGCACTAAGGCTACCCTCACTGTCCATCAGAGAACTCACACTGGGGAGAGACCCTATGAATGTCAAGAATGTAGGAAAGGGTTTGCCCAGAAATCAGGTCTTGTTGTACATCTGAGGACTCATACTGGAGAGAAACCTTATGAATGTCAAGAGTGTGGGAAAACTTTTTCCAGTAATTCAGATATCACTAAACATAAGAGGACTCACACTGGAGTGAAACCTTATGAATGTCAAGAGTGTGGGAAAGCATTTTCCAGTAAGTCCACCTTAATCGTACATCAGAGAAGACACACTGGAGAGAAGCCCTATGAATGCCAAGAGTGTGGGAAAACATTTCCTGATAAATCACAGCTCAATAGGCACGTCAATATCCACACTGGAGAGAAATGAATGTGAAGAGTGTGAGAAGGTTTTCTACGACAGGTCAGGCCTCTGTCGTCAGCAAAAGATCCACAGAGGAGTGAAGCCCTATGCATGTCAACAGTGTGGGAAAACATTCTACCGGAAATCAGCCCTCAATCAACATCACGGATTTCACAGTGGAGAGAAACCTTATCAATGTCAAGAGTGTGGGAAAGCTTTTTCAAATAAGCCTGCCCTCATGTTACATCATACAATTCACACTGGAGAGAAACCCTATGAATGTGAGGAGTGTAGGAAAGGTTTCTCCCAAAAGTCAGATCTTGTTGTACATCAGAGGACTCACACTGGAGTGAAACCTTATGAATGTCTGGAGTGTGGGAAAACTTTTTGCAGTAATTACTCCCTCTCTAGGCATCAGAAACGTCATACTGCAAAGAAATCCTATGAATGTTAACTATAGAAAAACTTTCTCTTCCAGGGCCTCCCTGGTGGTGCAGGCGGTTGAGCGCCACACTGTGAAGCTGTCCGCAGCCTCTGCAGCGTGGGTTTGATCCTGGCTAGCTGGCGAGAAACCCACACGGTGCACCAGACCTCTCCTGTCTCGCCCACTGCTCCCCTCAGCAGTGTATTTCGGTCAGTCTGCCTGTTCCTGTCTCTGGTGAATTCTCTCACCACTCCCCCCCGCCACTCACCCCCGTGCATCTGGCCTGTACCCTGGCTCTTGTATAAATAAATCTTTAAAAAACAAAAACTTCCTCTTCCAAATCAGCCATCAGGAGAAGTCATTCTGTAGAGAAACCTTTTGATGTCCATAGTGTGGGAGAACTTTCGCCAGTAAATCAGCCCTCAGTAACCATCACAGAATGTACACTTGAGAAACTGTATGACTGACAAGATTCTGTAAAACTCCTGGAAATCAGGCGTTGATATGCATTCTAGATGTTACACTGCACACAAACTCTATAGGAAACCTTTCTCCTAGAAATCAGGTCTCACTTGACAGCAGAGAATTCTCACATGAGAATAACCCCATGAAAGCTGAGTGTAGGGGAACTCTTGGGTTGTCGAGAAAGTCCTGACCTATTTTTTTCAGCGTGTCCAAAAATGCGTCATAACTTTTCCAACAACTCAGTATCTTGGAATTCAGTTCTAAGTGTAGATCAAAGAATTCACATGGGAAAACGCTTAAGATTTATTCATGCATACTAGAACTGGGGTACAGGCCAGAGGTGTGGGAGATGAGAGGATTCACCAGAGACAGCAGGGAACAGAACAGGCAGACTGAGGAAATACACTGCTGAGGGGAACAGCGGGCAAGACAGGTGCGGTCTGCTGTACCCTGGGGATCAGGTCCCTCACCAGCTGGGTGTTGAACTCATGCTGCCCCACCAGGGAAGCTTTAGAATCAAATGATTTATGTGGACACCTGCCTCGGCCAGAGGGTCAGTGCAACTATTTCTAAACTTTTTTTCTATGAGTTAGATTTACATCCGTTTAGAAACCGTTTGGGGTTGTGATCCTTCATAAACTACTGCATTGAATTCAAACCACACCCGTGTTTTGGAACAGAACCACTTCCCCAAAACCAGCCTCTTCCCACTTGAAGACTCTGTGTCTCCCCTGGTGAGGATGTGCGAGCCCCCTGAGAGTCCAGGGTCTGTATCAAGTAAAATTGTGCCTCAGAAATGTATTCTGAGGCCACACGTTACTGGCCATGTCCTGAATGTGGTCTTTGACTCGGTTCATACCTTGGGTTTAGTGAGCGGTGTGGACGTTGGTGTCAGTGGGAATCCCTGGCTTTGCTCTCGCTTTCCCTACTTTCTCAGGGGCACCCGGTGCCCTCTGGCGTGTTTCTTCCCACCATGGTGATGATGAATGGGTTTTTTTGTTTTTTTTTTTTTTTTTTTTTTTTTGCAGCAGGCCCGGAGTCTGAGGCCTCGGGTGTGCCTTTCTTCATTTCTTGTCTTTGGTGCAAAAGTAGTTCCAAGTGGTGCCCAGAGTTCCAGAAAAGCCAGAGATTTACTCACAGGAATAAGGACAAGAAAACTCCCTAAGAAGAATGGTCCCGAGGGGTGGCCGCTGGGGGCCGAGAAGCAGGGGCTCCCATGGCTGTGGCGGGCAGGGAGTGGGGGTTGATCGTGGGGGCCTCTGCTATGTGCCTCTTGCTGAAGGGCTTGGCCTGAGGGGTCTCCCGAGGCTCCGAGGCCTGCAAAGTTTGCCCACTTTACTGGCCTGCATTTCCACAACGAGCCTTGGACTGTAGATGTGGAGTTGTGTCCTGTGTTGGTTCTGTGATGTCCTCTCTGGGCTGGGCTGGGCTGGGGCGCCGTCCGTTGGGGATTGTTTCTCTGTCGGGCTAATAAGGGAGCTGGGACTTGGGCACCTGCTCTTAATTGCCCGCCTCTGCCACGTCCTGACTTCCTCAAGAACTTTCCAGCCAGAGCCCCAGCCTGTTTCCTCACAGTGCAGCCCAGAGCCACTGTCCACGTCCCCGGAGCCCTGAGCTCCAGGCACAGAGTGGATGCCCCTCTGCGGGCTGTGGCCAGGGGACGTCACAGGGCAGTGGTGTGTGTGTGTGGGGGGTGGATATTGAGACATCACTGGGGGCTCTGTCTGCCCCCCCGCCCCTGTCAACTGGCAGAATATGACAGACAAGAGCAAAGCTGCCGAAACTCCCCAGGGTCTGTGTCAAGTGCTGTCAGGGAGGAGGAGGCGGCCACACGAAGGGTCTCTGGCCGCTGGGAGGGTCAAGCTGAGCCTCTGCCTCCTCCTCAGAGCTGCTCCCCTTCTAGATTGAGGCCCTGCTGTGTGACTCCCTGGGGTCCATGGTCCTGGGCCTGGTGCAGGACTGCCATGAGACCAGGACGCGGCCTGCTGTCATGTGTACGCCATGGAGTTCTCGGGAGGGCCAGGCCCGTGGCCAGGGCTTGGGCTGTGAGTCAGAACCTCCTCAGTGAGGGCTCAGGTGTTGGTCCTACAGCTGCCAGAGTCGCTGGGCGGAAGACAGCACAGTGGACATGGGGAGACCGATTGTTGGACCCGCAGTTGGCTGACGCCCCATGACAGAACCAACGGGTCCACCCATGGGTCTGCCATCCAGGATGGGGCGGGGGTGGGGAGGCACGAGGAGGCAGATTCACCTGACTTGATGCTCAGGAACTCGTTGATGATCCCAGTCGTAGTGAATGGAGGAAGTGGGGGGATGTCAGCACTTGGGGCCACAGGGTCCTCAGCCTTGAGATAACACCATAGAAACAGGAATTCACGGGGTGACCCGCCTCCAGAGCAACCCCAGTTCAACCTCACCTAACCCAGAGATCCCCCAGCTGAGCTGAGTCTTTTCTATGAAGAAAGTGTGTCCCCACCTCCTTCTCTGCTCAGTCTCCTCTGCTGAGACCCCTCAGAGCTGGGGATACTGGGAGGTACGTGTGGAATTGCTGGTCTCGGCCCATCCCATTTCCTCCCTGTGGGTCCCTCCTGTGTGATCAAGGGCAGCCAGGGTGGAACGGTGCCGTGGGATTTAGCAAAACCCGGGGAAGGCCAGGGCTGGGCACTAGGGAGACGGGGTGTGGGGGGTGGTGTGGGCCAGAAAGTGGGGCCTGAGGGGGCTGGTGGGGGAGCTGAGGTCGTGGGTGAGCGAGGCCAAGTCCGGGAGGGTGGGCTGATGTTCTCAGGCGTGGGGAGGAGTCAGGGAGTTGGGCTGGGGGAAGGGGTGGGGGGCTGAGGCAGGGGGCAGGACTGGAGTGTGCTGGGCCTGGTGGGGTGAAGCCGGAAGGGCAGAGGAGGTGGGCTGCTCTACAGGCCAGAGGAGGGAGAAGCGGTGCGCAGGCCTGTGCTTAGAACTTGCCAACTCAGCCTCAGGCCTGGGGTAGGGGATCCTCCAGGCTGGCGAGGGCCCGAGGTGCTTCCGGGACCTTCCATGCTTAGAGCTTCCTCTGCCTTTACCCTGGCCTGCAACTTGCCCATCAGGTCCGGGAGCCTGAGGGTGGCCTTGCAGTCCTCTGCAGCCAGAGCATCCATATTCTGGCCACTGGAACCATCCGCTTCTATGGGTCTCATCCTCAGAGCACTTGCCGGAGTTTTGAGCCCTGTAACTGGTAAGTCATTTCCTTCACCTTCTGTTCATATTTGTGGGCCCTCTTCAGAGCCCCAGCGCCCTGCTTCTGCTCCGCATCCACCTGGTTTTCCAACCCCCGCACCTGGGCATGGCGAGAAAACACAGAACTCAAGTCAGATCTCCTGGGCTCCTCCCATGGACTCCTGTGAGGGTGAGCTCAAGATCTTCCAGTGGTGTTTTCCGGAGGTGTCTCCTCCTAGGCCTCAGGAGCGCCATTTTCTCCCCAAGACTGCCCCTGGGCCACGAGGGCTGTGTACGGAGAGAGTGAGAAGCCCTTTTGGGGCAGCAGCAGCCAGGTCCACACGGTGCACCCCCTGAGACAGGCCTTGCAAGATGCCCCTTCCCCTGGGCCCGGGCATCTGGGTCAGGGCTGTGCTTTCTGAAGGCCTCAGTGACGTGGCCCAATGGCCACAATGCAGGATGGCAGCAGGGTCACGAAGCACAGGGCTAGGAGTCCACACATACGTGTTCAAGTCCAGGGGCAGTGACGGAGCCCACGCATGGCAGCTGCTGTCATGGAAGACGAGTTTCTCTGTAGGACGGAGGTTATAATTCCTGCCCAACCTCCCTTCCACGTGGACATCAAGGCAGCCCCTGTGAATGCACGTTCTCACACAGTGGGGACCTTCTCTGGGGAGTCTATGTTACAGGTGCTCCTGCCTCTTCTGGAGTCTCGAGGGGAGAGGACAGTCCCTGAGCGTGCTGGTCACCAACTGTGGCCCCAGCCCCACTGTCCAGCAAAGCCAAGAAGTAGGGGTGGTGGCCTGGTGCAGGGAATCCCAGGGGCCAGAGTCGGGGGGTGACTCTGGACTGCAGACCCATGAGATGGACCCTGAAATCTAGCAAAGCTTCCTGCTCAGCTGACCCTGGGCATCGCCCCAATCCCCGGGTCCCAGGAAGCTGTGATCATCAGCCTCTGCAAAGCCTCTTGCCCAGGGCTGCTCTCTAGGCCTGTGTGGCGTTTATGGAATTTGGAGGACTGAGAGCTGGCAGTTGAGGACAGTCCAGAGAGCTCACTACGTGGGGAGTCAGCGGGGCTGAGTGAGGGCTTGTTACACTTTGTGTCTGTTAAAGATCTTAAAAATCTGGTAATTTTTTTTCTCTAACCACAGTTTAAAAATAAGGATTTAAGGGGCCTCCCTTGTGGCACAGGCGGTTGAGTGCAGCGCTGTGAAGCTGTCCACAGCCTCTGCAGAGCCTGTTCAATCCCTGCCAGCCGAAGAGATGCCCACATGGAGCAGACCTCTCCTGTCTTGCCCGCTGCTCCCCTCAGCAGTGTATTTTGTCAGCCTGCCTGTTCTTCTCCCCGCTCTGTCTCTGGTGAATCCTCTCGCCCCCACATCTCTGGCCTGCACCCTGGTTCTTACATAAATAAATAAATCTTTAAAAAAAAATAAGGATTTACAAAAACTGAGAGCTTTACTTTAGAGTTATTC